TACTGCTATACACCAAGTCATGAATTTTTTAAGTATATTTTCCATGTGCATATTGTCACACACCTAAGTAAACATCGTAATTTTGCTTTCGTCTCACAACCATCCGCCTAAACGCATCTGGAACGATTTACAGCTATTGTCCATTCCGAAGAGTTGTGAAACGAAAGCAATGGCGCAAAAATCAATGGAAATGGAAGCACCATCGTTCTTGTTGTAGTACTGTTTCCTTAACACGGAACCTGCTAGGCTACGACCGTCTGACTGTTCAGTCCCGCACCAGCCAACCAACGGGATACAGAAAAAAGGCCAAGACTCGGTAACAGGGAGTATATTCTACACGACAGACCGCTCGTATTTATTAGGTAACGAAACGTACTATTTTTAGGAAGCCTAGCTATGCGACTGGCTCTCAGCCAATGTCAGTGATTTTGGTTCCACGGTTTTTCCATATTTGGCCGAATGCACTGCCTCCTTTGACGCTGACTTGTCTTTGCTAGCCAAACTCTCGCCTGAACTGGCTTGTATTCGTTGGCCAAAAACTCGTGCCTGCTTTCCGAACAGTTTGACTTTGTACCGTGCTCGTGCTTTCACATGTAGCAGACAGCTCACGTACTCCACAGGAAACCCACACACGTTTGCGATCTCGTATTCGGACATTGGCTGGGCCCGCCTCTCTAGCACCTCCCTCTTTCAAAGGATTGCTTCTCCTTACCTTTCGCACCTGAGCTTGGTCGTAGCTTTTTTCCCTTGGGTTCACTTGCAGCCACTGCGGCTGTCTTCGTCTTCGACTTGGCTTGCTCGGTATATCCCGCGGTAATTGAGCAACCGGTTCTATCCTATTTGAGGCATCAGTTTCGTTTTCCAATCCAAATGTATCTAGCAGAATGTCCCACTGTAGTTTTGACGATGCTTGAGGTCTCTGGGTGTTTCCATGTCGTGGCCGTAGATGGTTGACATGCCTGGTCCACTTGTCCTTTCCGACCATTATCTCATATATAACCTTACCCTTTTTTCCGATAACCGTTCCGATGGACCACCTTCCCGGAGTCTGGAAGTTTCGTGCGTACACCAGTTCACCGACCTTAAACCTACGAAGTCTCCCTTCCTGCTCTTCGTTCGTTTGTCCATTGTGTTTTTCATCACATCTAGGAATCAGGCTATCAAATATCGTTCTAATTTTTCGTCCGAAGAGGCATTCCGCAGGAGACTTCCCTTCTGGTGTGTATGGATTCGGAGTGTTGCGATACATTCTCAGGAACGGTTGGATTATATCTCGTGACACCCTCGATCCTTCCGCCTTAAGAAGAGCACGTTTAAATGTATCTACGAATCTTTCGGCCTGCCCATTTGATTGTGGATGGTACGGCGGTGAAAACTTGTGCCGAATTCCGTTTTGTGCGCAGAATTCTTGAAATAGCGTAGATGTGAACTGCGGTCCGTTATCCGTAACTAGTGTTTCCGGTGTGCCAAAATACTGGAACAATTTGCTCAGCTCATTGATAGTGTGCTGGGCGGTGGGGTATTGCATCGGAATCACGTCGGGCCACTTCGTGTAGGAATCAACGAAAATCAAGTAGGACTGACCGTTGATTGGTCCTGCGTAATCCAAGTGTACTCGCTGCCACGGCTTCTCCGACTCGGGCCAAGGTTGCCACGGAGACTTTGGAGGGGCCTTCGCCGCCTGCTGACAAGATTCACATCTTTGACAAAACTGTTCGATTTCTGAATCCATTTGGGGCCAATACACAAAACTTCGTGCCAGCGCCTTCATTCGGCTGGTTCCCGGATGTCCTGAATGAAACTGCTGTAGAATTCGGCTCCGCAACTTTTTCGGTACCACTACTCGATCTCCAAACATAAGACAATTACCAACAACCGAAAGAGATCCGCGTCGATTGTAAAAGGGTTGTAGGTCAGCCGAAATTCTGATATTGGGCCAGCTGGATTGCACGAACTCTATCACTTTCGGTAAGAGTTCGTCTTTAGCCGTTTCCACACGAATTGTGTCCGACGTTACAGGCAACTCTCGTACGCTGTCAAACAGAATTTGCTGAACTTCTGACTCGAAATTAACAAATGCGATCACACATTCATCGTTCTCCTTCGTCTGGGAGCTGATAAGGCGAGATAGAGCGTCAGCTTGGCCGAGTTGTTGTGTTGAGCGGTACTGTATGCTGAAATCGTAACCTAGCAGTATGGTAGCGCATCTCTGTAACCGACTTGCAGTGAAAACAGGAACACCCTTCTTCGATCCGAATATCGACAACAAGGGCTTGTGATCCGTAATCAGTTTAAAATGTCTGCCATATAACATCTTGTGGAACCGTTTCACTGCGAAAACGATCGCCAGCGCTTCCTTCTCAATCTGGCTGTAATTCTTCTCCGCCACCGTCAGGGACCGTGCTGCGTGGGCGATAGCCTTCTCTTCTCCTCCTGGAAACAGATGAGAAATAACAGCACCCACACCATAATTGGAAGCGTCCGAAGCGACGACAATCTCCAAGTTTGGATTGAAGTGAGTCAGAAGCAAGTCGGAACTAAGTGCTTTTTTCACTGTATCAAAGGATTGTTGACACTCCTTTGTCCATCGCCATTCTTTCCCTTTCATCAGCAACTCGTTCAGAGGACCTCTTGTCTGATGTAGGCTTGGTAAGAAAGCACTATAATGGCTCACAAGACCCAGGAATGAGCGAAGTTGGGCAACGTCTTTCGGTGGTGGCATCTGCTTGACAGCTTCTATGTTAGCGGGATCCGGACGCCGACCATGTTTGTCAATGAGGAAATCGAGAAACTTAACACTTTCCATCAGGAAATTACAATTTTCCATTCGTAACCGAAAACCAGCTTCCTCTAGACGGGTTAACACTTTCTCCAAAGTGGCCATCAAAGCTTGTGGGTCAGACCCCATAATCAATGCATCATCCAAGTACACTGCGACCCCAAAGATATCGTTCAGGAGCGTATCTATGATTTGTTGAAAGATAGCGGGAGCCGTCTTCACACCAAAAGGCAACCGATTATATAGAAAAAGACCAAGGTGCGTGTTGACCGTCAATAATTTTCTGCAGTTCTCAGCCACTGGAACCTGTAGGTATGCGTCAGCTAGATCGAGTTTGGCAAACCATTTTCCACCGTTAAGCTTGGAGAACAAATCTTCAGGTATAGACAGAGGGTATTGATGTGCCTCCAACATGGAATATAAACCAGTCGAAAAGTCAGCACAAATACGTACCTTACCGTTTCCTTTCTTCACCACAACGATGGGTGCCGCCCATTCCGAGAAATGTACACGCTCGATTATGCCTTCCGACTGCAAGCGATTCAACTCAGATTCCACAATTGGTTGTGTTGCATACGGCACTGGACGTTTTGGTCTGAAAACCGGTCTAGCGTCTGGTTTGAGGTTCAATTCTGCTTTGGCAATACGGCAACATCCAAGACCGGATTGAAACAAACTTTCATGGCGTCGCTTTAGTTCAGCGATCTGAGTGTAGAGTTCGTGGTTCATATTCAGCATCTGAGCGGGTTTCTCAACTTGTAATTTCTGGCAAATACTGTTTACCGACTGGTCAAGTAAGTTCAATTCGTCCATCCAGTCGAGACCAAGCAAATTCAATCCTGGTTGATCCGTCACAAAACAAGTGGTGCGTATATGCTGATCGCGAAAACTGGCCTGACAATGCAACTCCCCGAGCAGTTTCAAGATACCCCCGGATGCGTTTCGTGCTGTGTGGTCTGTGTGAACAAGTGGCGGTCGCCCCAGCATGCACCATGTTTCTCGACAAAGCAAGGTGATATCTGACGCAGTATCCAACTGTAATCTAACTTGTTTACCATTGATCTTCAGCACAGTGAACTTACGCCTGCTGGCACCATCAACCTTGAAAGTTGCCGTCACTGTTTTAGCTTCGTTGTGACATCGGGAGCGCATCGGAATTCGACGATTTATTCCGATCACTGTTGATCGTCTTGCAAGACAACACGACTCCTTGTGTCCTCGCTTACCACAACGGCGGCAAATGTGGTTCCGGAACGGGCAGTTTCGGCCAAAATGCCACTCTCTGCAAAACCAGCAAGGAGAAGAGGGTTTTGAATCTTTCGAACTCACATGAACTGGTTCCTTGTGGGGATTTCGACTGACCCTGCAAATGATGTCCGGGCTGTTCTGGGTGGGCGACTGTTGGATCATCGCAGCATCATGTTTCAAAGTCAGCAACCGTTGGCATTCATTCGTCACTTCCTGCAGTGTAATCTCTGGATTTTGTTCGATTCTATTCAAGACTCTTGTTCGGGCATCAGCATCTTTGGCCGCCTGAAGACCGCACACATAAATAAGGCACTTGTACTGATCTGCTGACATCTTGTGAAACAGGGACCGTTCGCATTCACGATTGACGCGACTTGAGTAAGTTACCCAGTCTTCATCGCCTCGCTTGGTCATCGTCAGGCATTTGTATCGGATAATAAATAATGAGGATTGTTCACCAAATATCTGCGACAAAGTAGCAACGGCTTCGTCGAAAGTTAAATCAGTACTTTTCTTCGGTAAGATGAAATTCATGAACTTTGCGTGCTCGGCCGCACCCAATTTCCGTAGCAGGAGACGAACTCTCTTGTCTACTGGGACAGCTGCTAGATCAACTCGAAACAGATCTACGTATTTATGAAACCAGGATTCAAACGTAATACCGGCATCGGCATCATAATGGAACTCACCAACTTGTTGGGTCAAGACTTCTTCGGAGGGGCCACGTTCACTTGCACCTGTTACCGAGCCTGCTTGTAGAGACAAATTCTTGGTCAGTGTTTCGATCAGTCTGGCCTGAGCCTTCTCAAACTGCGCTTGCTGCTGTTGTAACAGAGTCTGCAACAGTTCTTGCATTTGTGGAAAGGGGATTGCCATGTTTGGGTTCGACTTGTTAACTCTGCGTCGCCACTGTTGTAGTACTGTTTCCTTAACACGGAACCTGCTAGGCTACGACCGTCTGACTGTTCAGTCCCGCACCAGCCAACCAACGGGATACAGAAAAAAAGGCCAAGACTCGGTAACAGGGAGTATATTCTACACGACAGACCGCTCGTATTTATTAGGTAACGAAACGTACTATTTTTAGGAAGCCTAGCTATGCGACTGGCTCTCAGCCAATGTCAGTGATTTTGGTTCCACGGTTTTTCCATATTTGGCCGAATGCACTGCCTCCTTTGACGCTGACTTGTCTTTGCTAGCCAAAACTCTCGCCTGAACTGGCTTGTATTCGTTGGCCAAAAACTCGTGCCTGCTTTCCGAACAGTTTGACTTTGTACCGTGCTCGTGCTTTCACATGTAGCAGACAGCTCACGTACTCCACAGGAAACCCACACACGTTTGCGATCTCGTATTCGGACATTGGCTGGGCCCGCCTCTCTAGCAGTTCTTGTACCGTAATCCTGTAAAATCAGTTTGCATTTCCATCGTACCTTATGATCGGACCAGACTAGCTGAGTCGTGTCTCACCTAGTTGAGAATATACCAATGTAAATCTAAAAGACAGCTTCCCACAACCACTTACTAGCCAACTTTATAAGCAACTACGTCTGCCATATAACTAAATATTATACAAACAACAGTTAGCCTGCGAGCTTCCGTAGATGGAGCATGTTCACCGTTCTCTTGCAGAGGAAAAGCATCGGTACAACTGTCAAATACATGAATCCTCCACTGGAAGGCCTATCAGAGCACGAACGAGGTCTTGGAAACAGTGATAAAGTCGATGTTCATTGCAATGATAGTGGCGAAATATTTTTTCACTAGCAAGAGCTACCGCTCGCGTTGTTTCACCAGGTTTCTGCTGAATAACAGACTGCTCTGTATTTAGAATGACCATAATTGAAGCAACTAGACACGGCGTAAACTAGTGCAAAAATGTTGGACAAAATGCAGCACGCACACGCATTCCGATCATGCCAAAGTGCGCACCCGCATAATGCTCCAGCTCACGACGACACCAGTAAACTAACACTTCTAAAACGACTGATTATAGGCTGAACTCGGCTGCGGTGGTAACTCACTACTCCAACTCGGAACATGAATAGACAATAAAAAAGACGTGAATGAGCCTAATACTGTCAGTAGTGAAATCGTAGCTGGGGATGGGAGTTGAGCGGGATGGGGAGAGATAAAGAGACAATGCGAACTCCGTCGAGGTCGGCTCTTAGTCATGTCAACAGGTGTTTCCAACCAAAGGTTTCCGTAGCCTTTGAAAACCCAAGCGAAGCCAAGTTCAAAGCCAGAGCCTCCATTAGTCTTAACTGATTCATAGAATTGTCTTCCTCATCTTATCAACTATAGCCCAGACGCGCAAAAAACGCAAGCCGCGGGAGCTAGTGCATTGGTATGAGTAACCCATGCTCTAACAATCCATGTCTGGTAAGTAAAATAATGATGATGAGCCGTTCATTCACTCTTCGTGTACTATAAACGAAACACCGAACGCGTTTATTGCTCACGCGATGTTCCTACTAGATGTGAGCTAAGCTGCCAAAGCACCGGTATTTGAGCGCAATTATGAACTTTCTATCTGCAGACCTTTCAAACTAGGTTCCGCAACTGCATAGAAAGGCTAAACGAAGGTAGCGTTCCATCACACTGTATTTCAATTGGACATAAGAATAGGCTATTTATAGAATTATTGGTGTAAAAACATTTAACTGACATCTATAATATGGGCAAAAGCTAAATGCATTAAATTTTCTTCGAGTTACCAAGAACACTAGTTTTGCTTTCACGAACCAGTTCTGAGGTTTTGTATATAAAGAATAAAAATTTCTATTTTCGGCCGTAATTTCTAAATACCGGCTGTGGGAGCGCAGCATATATGTCCATTAAGAGTTTTCGTAGTCATATACACCCACAACTTACACCTTGGCAGCTGTTCATGCATCTAAAATGTCCGCGTTTATGATTGTTTATCCATCGCAACGCAGCACTTATTTGAGTTCACAAACAAAATTGTGTTCCCCTAAGTAAATGCACGCTGAACAATTTCAAAGGTAGAAATTAAGTAAAGTAATTTAACACAATTATTTATGGTTAGACCTGAGACAACAAACTTTTATATTTAGGTAATTATTCATTTATTGTCTATTAGTTAAATTTGAATTTTCGCGCCACAGACTGGTGGAACGTTACCCTAAACGGACGGTATGACTTGGACCTTAATGATGAGGGTGATGTCGCGCCGGCGCCATAATAGAAGATTAACAAAGGCATCTCGGTTCAGGAAATCATTTGCAAGCGCTGACTGCATAAGTAGTTGAATTTCCAAACGATTGCTAACTGATCCCGAGTATGACACAAGGCAAGAGTTTGACCCTGTCAATCCTGTAGACTTATGAAATTTTAAAGCACAAATCAGTCAGGAAAGATTGGCTGACAGTGCTAACCGATCCATCGCAGTTTGGCACGTTCGTAAGCTACCACGGATCACGGCAATATTGTCGGTTCACTCCAAGCCGAGAATCCGATCTCCTGGAAATAGTCCCACAACTAAGTCGTGTCCGGTGAACATAGTTTCGTTACCATCGTCAACAGCGAAGTAAATAGGAAAGGTGACAGTGGCCATCCCGTTCTCGCATTGCTGGAGCTACTGAATGGCAGTATCAGCTTGCCACAACTATACCCGGACTAAGCACGTAAAGCGCTTGTACAATATTTATGCACTTATAGGGCACACTTATCCAAAAGAGATAAATTCAAACATCATATCGACCGACCGAATCGAAAGCACTTATGATGTCGCTGACCACGATCCCGGTGCGGCTAACGGTGATCCAACAAGTGACTTAAAGAGCATAAAATATTATTCACCGTTCATCATAGATGCCAGTAAAGTATGGCTCATGTCTGGCGAAACCATTGAAAGGGTACCAAATATCTGACGGTCAACATTTGGTGGCGAACACTGGCGTTGTGCAGTCGTTTGTTGAATGAATAGAGTTTACGTTGGTTCCGTCACGCACATGACTGTGCGAGTCAGAAATAACTGAAACCATTAAACTTTGTTTACATAAACTGGATCATGACGTATCCGAAGATGATAAAGCGCCCAAAAGGCCACAGGCGACATACTGAAAGGAAGAGGCTTAATTGTTGATGCGGTGGATCAATATGAGACAGTGGCTTCAGCAAATGAGCCGATCCCCAACCCCTCTGGCATTCAGACCTAACGGCCAAAAATGGTGGCAATATCTTGCGCAGGAAGATGCGGAACACATGATGGACAGTACATCCATCGGCATCCACTCATCTCGCGTTGGTTAAACGGCAGTCGTAATGGACCAAGAGAGAGGTACATCTGTTAGAAAAACAGCCAAAATCCTGCTAAAAGAAACCAGGACAGAGTCCCACATAATTTAAGTAAAAAAAGACAACGGTCAAGGAATTGTGACAATTATATGAATACAAAAGTAACCCCAAAACTCGCAGCATATGATTGTCGCAATAAGAGTGATTTTTCCAGCAAGCCTGTCAGTGACGAACAGTTCCGCAAACTTTCCCGGCCACAGGATGACCGTGGTTGGCCGTCTTCAGCAGTAACGTGGGTCGAAAATTGAGTGATGTGTAAAATATATCCATTGAGGGTGAATACCATCCTCACTCATTACCCTCGGAAATCATAAAGCCCCCAGAATAAAATAATGTTGAGCAGTTTGGACCCAAGGAAGAAGAGGGTTAGAGAGCACCTATCAGGTCCAGCCACCGCCTTGTGTGCGCTTGATTCCCAAATACAGCGTGCTTGTGTTTGCCTGTGAAGGAGTGTGGGCCGGCTCCGTTGATGAAACATGGCTCCCATCCACATGCCTCCTGGTCTTATTCCTTCGGGTTTACACTGGATGTGGGATGTGTGGGTGGAGCTGTGGGTGGTGCAGCGCAAGCCACCCATGGTCCCTCTGTAGGCGCAGGCGTCCTGTGGCTGGCCACAGTGACAGGCAAATCCGAAACCGGATGCCGCCATCCATATATATATATATATATATATATATATATATATATATATTTCAGGTGCTGGCTTTTCAACTTTATTCTAATGCTTCTCTTTCTCATATCAATGTCCACCTGTACTCTCTTCTATGAACTTGCACACGTCGCTTAAACCAATTGTAGTTAATTTCGATAACATTTTCGTGTTTGTGACATTTCCGTAAAATATACTTTTTGACCTCGTGAACTGATCTCGGATTCTTTTGTAAACAATCTGTTTCATATGCTCATTAATTTAAGATTTATGTCACCGTTTCCTTATGAATTACTCGATTTCTTTTCTTTGTTAGCTTTCTATCAAGTGATTGGCTGTTGCCTGATATTCCCGGTGTGGCTGCGCTTGATGTACATGTTGACAAGGTACCTAGCTGTCTGTTACCTACTACATCGTCCATACTGGCTCTAGGAGACAGTTGGTCGTTGCTGGAGAGGACGGGATGCACGGTCCTTGTGGCCGTGTTAGGATCAATGAGTGGTTCCATGCACTCAGTGTGGAGCGGACTACGGTCCAGTCACCGCCTTGTGTGCGCTTGATTCCCAAATACAGTGTGCTTGTGTTTGCCCGTGAAGGAGTGTGGGCCGGCTCCGTTGATGAAACGTGGCTCCCATCCACATGCCTCCCGGTCTTATTCCTTCGGGTTTACACCGGATATGGGGTGTGGTTGGAGCTGTGGGTGATGCAGCGCAAGCCACCCATGGTCCCTCTGTAGGCGCAGGCGTCCTGTGGCTGGCCACGGTGACAGGCAAATCCGAAACCAGATGCCGTCAACCATATATATATATATATATATATATATATATATATATATATATATATATATATATATATATATATGGATAGAAAGGGCTGTCAATAGAATAGACATCGAGCCAATGAAAACTGTGGAATAATTGTGTAATAAGTACAATGCTCACAAAATGAAATATATGTATATATATATATATATATATATATATATATATAAACGTTTTTTGTGCTTTTTCCACACGCCATTTTGTCTTTTCTATCATTTTTGTGATTACAGCTTTGATCAGTAGAATGCATAGACGTATGCAAACTTTTCATTGGCCCCGAATGCGCGCTATGTCCTCAAGTGTCCACAAGCATCGATATTCTTTACCTTTGACCCACCAGCCCGGAAGACGTACGAGACAGACAACAGCTAGGCTGGAAGCCAGCGTCTTGACGTTTGGTTGCCGTGTGGTAGATTGATCACTGCGCGATTTCTTCCAATGCGTCCCTGTGCGCGAATAGAGCGCGCCGTGGTAAACGCTCGCATGACATGCATAGAATGTGACCAATCCCCCTCAGTTGGCGCAGCCATATTAGCTTGTAGAGAATGAAGTCCGTATTACCCAGGACGCGACGTCGAACATCGTCGTTGCACATGTGGTGTCCAACCACACACGAGCTATCCTCCGTAGAGAACCGTTGTCAAAGGCCGAAATCTGACGCAAATCAGTTACACGAAACGGCCAGGACTCACTTCCGTACAACAGGACCGTGTGAACACAGACATTGTAGAGCGTGTCCTTTATCGAGAATGAAACGTTACGACGACGCCATAGATGCCTCAGATCAGCGAAAGCTGATAGGGCTTCGGTAATACGCAGAGAACTCTTTACCAATGGTACCATCAGGAGAGATGCAGCTTACAAGGCAGAGGCAAGGCAGTTATCCACTAGTCCAAGCTGCACGCCTTGAAAAATCAGCACGGGAGCAGGTGGATGTCAATCCTGGAGAAAGATCTTGCATTTCAATAAGGCAAAGGTCACGACATACCTGGTGGCTTCAATCACCAAGCAGTTTACAATGGCTTGTATAACCTGTAAATCGTCAACAAG